AATAAGATTGGCACTGATTTTTGATCGTCAATCCCTGCCAGTTCATAAATTTCCTTGATGTACTCGTTTGCCATTGACAGTGTCATCGGTACATTCGTCAAACTTGATAAAGGCTCCTGTATTCATGGGTGATGTTTGTCCTTCCGGACAGAATTTCCACAAGTTGGGACCCCTGAGGTTCGTCTTCTTGGAGCGATTGGGAAAGCAACATCCACTGTGATGACATCTTCCAATCCCATAATGGCTCTGCCCAACAGGACACGATGACACCAGGGACAATTATAGGCGACGTAGAGGTGATAGCGATCTTGGCTGGAGGGAACATGGCGCCTTGTTCGCCGGATATCCAGTTTCGAGCTGTACTGATGCCTCTCACAAATTCACCCTTGGCTCGCCGTTCGGCAGCATTGGTTTGATCGTCCGAAGTCACACCCGCGACGCTCTGAACGAGATCATCATTTTTATCTTGCGTGGATGTGCTCATGGCTGGTCGAGAGTTAGAGAGAGAGAGAGTGGTCGATGGGAGCTCTTGATGGCTTGGGAGAAGCGTGTTATTATTGGTGTTTTAAAATACATGTACTGGTAGTAAGTTTGTGAGTTTTCGAGAGTCCAGAGTTTGGGACATCGTTTTAATAAAAACCTCGCCGTCGGTGATATCGCTAGCAACACAAAGAGAATGAATTATAAAATTGTTCTAACAATAAGGCCAGAGCACTGCTGAGGAGACCTTGATTTACCGGTAGTGAACCGACAAGCAAACCAAAACAGTTGTGAGCAACGAAAGCGCTGAAATCTTGAGAATGATGGGCACTGTCTTGAAACCATTGGCCAGTCGTCCGGTAGATCTTTATCCGGCAGAAGTCGCCGCTGAAATCGACCATCTCAACGATTGGATCTACAAAGAAATCGCCAATGGCAGCTACAAGGCTGGATTCTCTTCCAACCAGGAAACCTACGAAACTGCCTACAAAACCTTCTTTGCGGCTCTCCAAAAGCTGGACGAAGAGGTGCTGTCAAAATCAGCTTTTCTGGCGGGAGATCATGTCACGGAAGCTGACATTCGTCTATTTCCAGCTCTCTTTCGATTTGATCCAATCTACTACTCACGGTTCAAACTGAATCAGTCCTTCTTGTGGGAGTATCCCAATGTTTGGACATGGATGTCTCGTATGATGAACTTAGAAGGAATGGAACCGGTGTCCAATGCGGCCTATCTGCGCCATTGCAAGCAAGGCTACTTTGGGCGAACTGGAAATGGAACCGTTCCGGTGGGGCCGCTTGGATACCCAGAGTGCTACAAGAGCCCTTCACCACCCTTTGCCAAACAATCTTAGTTTTTCTGCAGGACGATAAGAGGATCCTCCATCTTGCCCGGTTTGTTTCCCAACTCTTAGTATCACAACTACTCCCACATTGTACTGTAACCAGCACCGCTTAGCATACACATAGTTACTAGTTACCTCGCTACTTAATTAAAACGCATAATGGAAGTTAGCCAGCAGCACACACTTCACTATGATTCAATCATTAGAATTGGCCCGACTGCTAGCTGCGGCAAGCTTTACTCTTTGGACGACTCCCAAGGTCGTTTGCCACGCCACTCCTCCACGGGATGCGCTGAAGGGAAATCAGCATCGCTTAGCATACACATAGTTACTACCGGTAGATACCTCATTACATAATGATAGATCTGATAGCCAGCAGCAAAGATGTTTCCGATGATTGATTCAATCACTAGGGTTGGCCCGACTGCTACTCTTTAGAGGACTCCCAAGGTCGTTTTCCAGGCGACTCTTCCACGGGATGCAATGTGCCAGGGGCTCGATCCGGCGACGACGAAACAGGTCCCGTTGCCGTGTTGCTGGCAACCGCCTTGACATGTTCTGCCAAGGCATCTTCATAGGTCTTGAGCTTGGTTTCACTAATGTACAAACGAAGCTGCAGTGCTTGCTGTCGTTCCTCCGCCTGTTCTCTTTCTTTGAATAGCTCGCGAGCATGCTCTTCTTTCTGCGTCTGAAAGTGCCGTTCACTCATGGCCAAAGCCTCTTCTAGTTGACCAACTCGATCCTGGAGTTGCTCCAATAGATTCAGAATCTTGTTATTGTCGGATTCGTCCTTGCTGTCCAGGACCTCTTCAGCAACGCCAGATAGCTCCGAGACGCTCTGCTTGACCACTGGTGGCTGGACCGGTTCTGTTTCCATCTCAACTTCCATCTCCAACTGCTTTGGAGTTGTATGTTCCACTTCGACAGAATCTCTTTGCTGCTGCTCTTCTTGGTCATCAATTTCTGATTGTTGTTTTGCCTCCTCTGCTCCCTCGACCTTTTGTATCTCCTCATCTTCAACATCGTCAGTTTGCTGTCTCGCTTCCTCCTCGCCTTCCCGTTGCTGTTCTTCCTTGTCGTCCTCATTCACGTCAATGCGCTGTTTCTCATTATGCTCCTCTTCGTCCACTTCTACGATTGGTTCGATTGGTTGTTGGTCTTCCTCCTCTTCCTTCTTTTCTTCCACCAACGTGACTTCTACTTTGGGTTCCTCCACAAATGACGCCTCATCATCCTCTGGTTTGATGTTCACCACGGTTTCTGCTCCTTGATCCGTCTTGGTTTTGACCATGGTCTCGGGAGCTGGAGCCGCCTTGGCCGGAGGCACTACTGGCCGCTGATTTTCCATTTCCACAAAGCAATCTCCGGCCACAAAGCTCACTCTTGCTTTGGATTTGGTAGGCGTCGAGCTAGATCTTGATAGGTGAAGAATGGGTTTGGTGGGCTTTTTGGTGACAGTGACCCATCCATGATTGTTGTTGTTGTTGTCCTCTTCGCTAGATTGTGGTTGAATTTGAGCCAATACCTGCTCGAGTGTTTCGCACGTTCGAGGGGTCATGGATTCCTCCCGGATATGCTTTGCCATTGTGGTGATCTTTGTCGGGGTCTTCTTTGGGTGTTGATGTCTATCCGACGATTTGTTGCTCGTCTTGTTGGTTTCCGCTTCCGCCAAAACCCGCAATTCGTCTTCCGCTACTTGTGCCTGAGTTTCTAGATCCGCCATCATGGTTTCTACTTCCTCGTGAATTCGTTGTAGATCGGCATCGGTGGGTTTCAATGAAGGACTCAACTGAAACGCCCGACTCTTGGGAGGAGATGTTGGTGGAGGAGGAACATCATCATCGTCATCATGACTGTCATTGCTCTTTTCCTCTTTGAGTTGCTGCTCTATTACCTGAAGACTATAAAGCTTCTGAAGAGATGTGAATAAGGATTCTTGTGCCGGTGTATATACAGGAGGAGACTCCTCTGCGACGGTGACGACAAGACCGTAAATGTAGACGAGATGGGCGGGTACACTCATTGCTTCCTGTAGTTCGCTCCTCTCTGGCAAAGTGATGTTCCTGTTGCCATTGTTGGCCAAGCATTCCACCAGTGCTTCACAGGCACGGAGGCGACAAGTCTCCATGGTGTTGTCTACCTCTTAATTCTGTCTTGATGGAGGATGATGTTTCTTCCTCTTCTCCTTTATTACTTTTTACCGAGCTAGTCAGCAGTCCTGTGGTGAAGCGCGAACAAAATAAATTGGCAGTTATTTGTCAAGGCAGGTTCCGGATTTAGAGAGCGTCATTGTTGCTCTCGGGCACGCCGACCGCCCCCACTTTTCTCAAAGGAGCCAACAATGATGGCTCGAACAAACGGCATGCCGCCGCCATGAGAGACACAACACACGAAAACCGCAACATGACGGCCAACCAGCAAGAAGTATCCTTCAGTTATTAGTTAGCTACCTGGTATCGTAGCTTGTCAGCGTGTTTCATTTTCATGGGTATCACTTTCCTCTTTTAGATTTTCATTGACTCTTGAGAGTGCCCAACGCTGAACTCCACGTTGCCGCCATCGTGTATGACACACGCGTGGTCTCTCGAGTCTCGGTTCGTGCAAAGTTTCGCTCTCTCAAAAAGATTTACATTGCATCAAATCAAAACAGCATGAAATCCATGGCATCGTCTTCTGCTAACAAGCGCCGTCGTGTCTGCGAAGACAATGGTGGCAGTACGGCCACTACTAGCGTTCGCGTCAAGGTTGAAGAGGACCCGCATATCAATGGACGTAATGCGCAGCCCGACGAGACGCACAGTACAAGTCCTGTCGCATCATCCACGATAAACAAGAACACGGAAGCGGTCCTTCTCGTTCCTCAGCTCGATGTCCTTGCGCAACTCTTGACGGTCGATTTGGCACAAGACAATGCCGCCAATGTGGCTCGTGCATTGACAAAGCTCGCGGAACTCCTACGAAAGGAGGCGTCCGAATGTCAACAAGCCAACCAACTCGGAGCTGCCGTGGTCGTGCTCACGGTCATGCGCAAGTTCCAGCACCACAAGGGCGTGCAGAAGGATGGATGCAGCTGTATCTGTTTGCTGGCGTTTGCCTGCCAAAACGATCCGCATGGCCGAAACACGTTGCTCCAGTGCGGTGCCGTGGAAGCCGCCCTCAATGCAATGTCGGTCTTTCCGAGCTCTCAAGGGGTCCAGAAACAGGCGTGCTATGCTCTCATGAATACGCTTTCCCCGCCTTGTGGTGGAGGTGAAGATGACGACGACATGCTGGGACGATCGATGCAACGATTCGTTCTGGAATTGGATGGCATTGCGCGAGTCGTACAGACCATGAAGGACTTTTCCACGGCCACGGAGATTCAAGTGGCGGGGTGTGGACTTTTGGGCAATCTAGCCACTCGACGAGCCTTTCACAACATTATGAGAGAAGCTCGAGCCGTTGGCGTGGTTGCGGCGGCATTGGAGGATCACGCGCAGCACCCCAGCATTGTCGTCAATGGGAACAAGGTCATGGTGTGCTTGTTCTCCGAGTCGTCGTCGTCGTCGTCGTAAGAAAGCAAACAGGAGAAAAAGACGTCCCTCGAACGCGGTTGGGCAACGAGCGACAAGGCACAAGTAGTTGGAGTGGGACGACGTCACTGGTATTGAGCTCCCAGAGGGTACTACAATAAAGGCAAGGGGCGTAGCAAATAGAATCATTCGAATGAACCGAAGCAATCAAGGAATAGCTATGCTACTGTAAAACTGTTCAGAAAAAACTATAGAAATCATAGCACCGGTACGAAGCCAACAGACTACTAGACTAGTACTCCGTACCGTATGACTGACTAGTTTACCTCTGCGAAATGTTTCACTGCTGTGCACCCATCCGATCTTAAAATCTACCATGGTACGCACCGGTGTGGCATTCAACTACTTAGCAAGGAGCAAACTCGCTCCGAAACTGCGCTAGTAGTATGGAGGCGGAGATAGGTCGTTACTTGGAAAGCTTGCTTTGCTTCACGTGATAGGATAAACGTATGATAGTACCGTAGACGGGGGAGGCCGCGCACCCAATTGAACTGGATGTTATGTAGCAGTAGCAAGAATCTTTAAATCAAGCCAGGGCCAAGCCTCTTCCCACGGCTCCAGAGTTGTCACATACTACAATAGAACAGCTCTGACATTCATGTTGCCGATGGCACCTCCAGAGAAGCAAACCACAGCTACATGTATGGTTACTAAATAAAAAGACTATCATACTAGCTACTCCAATAGATGAAGAGTTGTCACGATTTTTTCAGATCTTAGAGAGCGTAGACCATACAATGATGCCAACATCTTCAATGGTCCTGCAACTGCTGTGGGTTATTTTATGGGATCGGAGTGGTGCCGTTAGGTTTTGAAGAAATGCAAGAGCGCACCTTGGGTTCGGCTTTTTTGTTGAGGTCCCTGAGCTCTGTGGCCAGAGGTTGGTCGCCGCTCTTTATGCTGTTGAGTCTTGCGTGAGAGCCATTTTCCAAGACTTCTTAAGTACCATCTCCTTAAATAGGGCACCTTTCGGTACCCAAAGAGGATGGCCGACGAAAACAAAACAAGAATGAGAAGCCAAAATTGGGGGTGTTCAATACAGCCTCATCTTTCTTGTCGAGAAGATCAACTCGCATGGTCGTTGGCATAGTTTGCGGTGCGCCATTGCCAAAAATCGTGAGGATAAGTCTATGTAGGAAGCAGCAAGGGCTTGATCGGCCGCCATAAAAAGCGAACCACCTCATCAACCGAGCCTTCAGAGGATTGCCGCAAAAGTTAGTTGTCCATCCTCATTGCATTGTGTTGCTTGTTAGCATTTTTAGATAATTCGGTTTCCCCTCCTGATAGCGCGGAACATACACCATCATCACCATGACGAATTCGATGAGAGATACCATCTTAGCCGACGAGACCATTGGTCCTGTAGTACGTGAGGTGGAACGTACCTTGCTGTTTACTGATGTTCCATGTGGAGCCATGAAGACGAGAGACTGTGATCAGGCACAGTGTGCCGACACGGACGATGATGTGGCCCAGGGTTTCCTAAAGTTTTGCGGGGGGCTGGAACGTGCCTTTTGCTTCACTGATTTGGAAGATATTGATGAGTCTGAAATGGAGAGAATCAAGTCCTTGAGCGTCATTGAAAACGCGACATCGACGACGACACCGGTGAAGGATACCCCAATTGTCGAAACTGCCGACACTGAATCGTGCAGCGATGACAGCAACCCCGCTGCCATGGAGGTTGCCATTGAAAGGCCTGATCCTCCTTCTGAGCTCAAGGAATCAACTAAGGAGGAAGAGACAGCAGCTCCAACAGAGGGTGCTGCTCAGGGAGGGGATGTGGCCCAATCAGGAGATGCCGAAGTCACCGAGGAGGCTGTTGCCAAGGCCGAAGAAACCGGAACTCCTTTGGAAATCAGCAACAATGAAGCACCCAGGATGACTCAGTCGGAACCGGTCTTGCCTCCTGCCAATGCCATGCAGGCATCCACAAACACGCTCAACAAAAGCACCCCCACCAACAGCCTCCAAGCTGCCAAGGCGGCCAAGGCGGCCAAAAACAAGGATGGAAAGAAGAAAAGGAAAAGTTGGGGACTCTTCCGCAAGAGTAGGTCCGCCAAAGCTTCTGTCGTCTAAATAAAGAGGGTTCCTTTCCAGGTCTTCGTCAAACAGGTTATATAAACAAGAGGGACTATCGTTCGATTGAGTTGTGCTTTCATGTCAGAAGCTTGGCACCAAAGAATCACCTTCAAGCCTCAGCTCCAGTGTCTTGCTACCGCCAGGGCCCAACTCCAAGCATTATCTTTTCAATGTGTTGAGATCTAAGCCTTTGTAGTTACTAATGTTGGCTTACTAAGCAGTATTTGTTGCATTTTAGAAAACCTGAGCACTGTAGAAGACAGAACCCCTTCAAACCCGGACGATGCTACACGTCGTCAAACACTTTGAGCTGCATCTTCATGCAAACACCAGGTCTTACCACATTGCATCAACACAGAACCAATACTATGCTTGCGTAGCTGTTCAAAAAGAAGGGACAACTCGCAGGCCAACACCCAACATCACGACCGCCCCAAACCAGGGTTCCCAGGGCGTGGACAAACTCCCAAACCAACTTCTGGTACCAAATCCTTTTCAGGAACCACTCCAACCTCAAATGCTGGACCAATTACAGGACCAGTATGATGATCCACGCCAAGCCCCACACTAGGTCCATCTCCAGTCCCCTCGTGCCTTCCAGGCAGCAACCACTCGCTCTAAACCCCACGACACTGCAAGCCCCAATCCTGGACAAATTCAAGAACCAGGTTGAGGATCCACTCCAAGTCCCACTCCTGGCACATTTTCAGGCCCCACTGGTTCCACTCCAGGTCTCCAATGCTGGACTTGCTTCAGTGCCAACTCCCGTACTCCTGGACCCGCTCCAAGTCCCACACCTGGTCCCTTTCTGAGCGAGGGCCACACATGTTCCCACGCAAAGTGCAAAGTCCTACCGTACCCATGATCCATTTACAGTACCCACTCAAGGCAAAATATCAGGTTCCTGACTTGGATTGAACCCCGGACCTAGTGCTCCAGGGCCAGCACCAGGACCCACTCCAGACCCCAAAACTGGACTAACTCGCTCCACGCCCAACGCCAGACCATTGTGTTCGTCTACCTACTACAATGGTAGACACTAATAGATGGTACTAGTAACATCTGTCTTCACACTTTACCCCATGGCTTCTTCTGCTGCAAAGACAATCAAGCAATTGATTAGACTACCTGGTACATGTTCAAAAAGTTGTTAGCTTCAGTTAGTTGCATGTCATGTGTATTCGAGAGATATTCCGTATTTCCGCGGAAGCTCACATGGCGTCTTCGCAGCTTGAGCTGCACCGCTGTAAAAGGCAATTAGTTCTCAGAAAGAGCTCAGCATGACGTGGAGCAAAATCCACCTGCAACGCCCACTCCAACTAGCCGCTTGTCATTGTTCTGGTCCTGTAGGAACGATGACATCGACAGCACCGACACCAATTCAAGATGGCTACAGGGAGTTAGCTGGCCAGCTAGCAGATCCATTGCCAAAGCAGAATGTCACCATCTGGTTGATTGATTGATCTACCGTATCTGAATAGAGAGTCTTGTCAACGTCAACTCCGCTTCCGCATTATTTTTCTAGGTAGTCTGTCTGAAGTGAGCTGAGTGAAGCTCCTTGTCACCGCATAATATAAAACATATCTTTGAATTCTTTTAACAGAGTTCTGCAAGAGAACAAGAAAGAAACAATGAAAGCCACGAAGTGTTATTATTCACACCACAAGGTCATGACGGTTCTGGCGCTCCTGTTCCTGTGCCCTGCGGTTGCCACGGAAGCTTTCTCCTCTGCTCGGGTATCCTCTATTCCAAGAGGAGGAAGCCCCGGGGCTTCGGAAGAGTTGCGTGGAGGAGCACGACTGCGTGCATTGACCACCCAACGGGAAAGACGATGGCGGCCCCTCAAACAGAGCAGTGTTGCTACGACGGGGCCAAGACTCTTTCCCAGGGGAGAAAACAGTACCATGACTGCTACTCTAGTGGAAGAAGAAGTTATCGATGCCGTTTTCCCGGAAGCACCAGATGCCGCTGTGGAGAAGAAGAAGAAGCATTTCCTCAAGCGCATCGACGGCATTGTTTTTGTCTCTTACCTGTGCAATGTCATGGCTCTGTCGTTGCCAGTCCTTCTGGTACCCATTGCTGCCACTGAACATGCCACCACCATGTCACTGTCTGCAAAGGCTGCCACTGTCATGGTGGCGTCTCAAGTTGCCAGTATCAGTTCCGTGGCTTCTTTGGGAGGTGCCTTGGGGAAGTTTGTGAATGGATTCATCTGCAAAGAACTGGGATCGTACTTTTGCAGCTCTGCGTATTTGGTCGGATTGGGAGTCTGTTCATTGGCCTTCTCATTGTCCACCAATGCCCAAACCATGTCTTACGCCTTTGCAGGCATGGAGTTCTTTGCATCCATTCAATGGGCTTCTCTGGCCGTCATGCTTTCCAACTATTATGCAAAGGAGCCCGTCAAGTTGTCTGCTGCCTTGACAGCCTTGGGTTTGTCTTCCACCAGTGGACAGCTCCTGGCAAAGTTTTTTGGAATGACCCTCAGTAGTGCCTTCCACTGGCGCCTAGTGGCTCAGCTGGGTGCGCTTGTGGCCTTTGGAGGGGCTATGTTGATCTCTCAAGCACCAGGACGTGAGGCTGCAGCAGAGGTTCAAAAGCAAAAGCCGCCTTTTGAATGGAAGAGTGTCGCCCATTCCCTCAAGGCGGTCCTAGGCAGTCCTCTGTTTTTGATGCTGGGTCTGGCGCATTCCATGTCCTTTGTCTGCCGTGGAACAGATCGTATTCTCGGCACATTCTTTCAAGAAATGTCATCCTTGCCACCTGCAATTTCAGGAGGATTAACCATTACTATTACGTTTGGGTTGATCCAAGGACTCATCTCAGGTGCCAAGAAGTATGCTAAATGCGCTACCCTGCAAGACAAGCGCAACTTTCTGAAGAAGCGATACGTTGCTTGTATCTCGGCAACCTTGGGTTTGGTTGCCTTGTCACAAGTGGGAGCGGGACTTCTCCCCAATCGATGGGCCATGACTGCTGCCTTGGCACTGGTGTCTGGAATCATGGCCTCGAACATCTCCTTTCAGTACTTTCAGTTCCCAGCCATGATTGCACAACGATACGGCGATCACAAGCCAGTGGTCATCAGCTTTTTGGACGGGTTTGGATTCCTCCTCTCGGCGCCCATCTTTGCAGCAATCAGCAAAATCGTTCCTAGCATGGGATGGTCGTCTGGATGGGGCTTGCTGGCCACTCTGTTCGGATCCGCTGCCGTTTTGATGTTAACGTGCATCAACCCCATTTTGAACCTCAGCAAGACGCCCGCTGAAGAAGAATTGGAGAAGCAGCAGGCAGTTCCACTGATGGAATAGCCTGTCTGCCAACTTTTCTTTTTGCTCACGCCTCACAATTTTGTTACAGTATCTAGACACTCGCATACACAACCCACAAGCAACGAAAGCACCCCGACACAAACATTCATATTCGGACACAGGCGATGAAATCACATCTGCACAAACGCTCGTTCTCGGCGGTTCTCAGTCTCGAGCCCAAGGTGTTTCTGTACGGGCCAGATGAAAGGGTATCATAGCTTTACTACTAAGAATCATAGAATCAATCAATCATCTGCAATTGAACAAATACAGGGCAGAAGAGCGAGCATCTTGGCGCCCACCCTCTGCAGTGTCCAGAGCCCACAACGCACAACCTGCAATGATCTCCGACCACTTCAAGTGGGTTTGACAAGCTCGGGTA